ATTTAGTGCAATAGAAACGGAAAAAAATATCAAAATAGGTCAAAAAATTTTCCTGTCCGTCATGTGGGAAACCCGAAAATACTGTAACTTGTGAAAAAATCCATTATTTGAGTTAAATTTTTTTTTTAAAAATTCTAATCGATGATTGTAGGTCACTGAGTGCGAATGATTAATTAATTCAGTGTCGTTTAATTACAATTAATCAAAAACGAAAACTACAAGACTGTATATCTATATATATTTATGTAAAATTAACATGGAAGGTGACATATCTATAGATATTATGTACATTTTTTCCACCAGAGGCGCTTGTGCAGTACCTTCCTTAGTACAGCTGTTTTTTCGGCAACAAAATTTTGAACGACTTATGTTTTTTTTTCTTTTTTTTTTTTTTTTTAATATTTTATAATTAAATGAGCATTATGAGTCGTGCACTTTTGGATTTTCCAAACTTTTTTTTTTTGTTTTGAGATATTTTATTACTTATCTTCTTTGTTGAACTGCTATTTAAATAGTTTTTTCATTCGATTTTCTTCTTTCTTTGAAAAATATGCTAATTTACTAACCTATGTAGTATCATCTGCTAAAGTGCAATAAGTACTTGCATTAAACAGGTTTCAATATTTTTTATACGAATACATACTCATTTATTGATATAACTGACTCCATTTTCTGTAATCAATGATTTATTTTATCCTCAGTTAGAAAAATATATAAAAACAAAAAGTTCTCTATCCGAATTCTCTAATATTTTGATTAATTTTTATGAATTTTGTACATTCTACTGCAGATTTCGTTTTATATCGATATCGAAATTTGTTAACAGACTCAAAAGAGGAACTTGATAGTATCGTATCATCTGGAAAAAGACAAGCCATCCCTCCAGAACACTTACAAAAGTCTTGTACTGAAGAAAGCGATATTGAGAGTACAAAACAGAAAGTCATTACTACTGATGCTAACAAAGTGAAATCGGTTCTGGAAAAAAAAATTGCTGCGAAGCAACAACAATTGCTGGTAAGTTCATTTATTTATAATAATTAATATTTATATTGATGACTATTTTTAAATGTTGATTCTATATTCAAATTGGAGTCATCAAATCACTTAAATTTAAATACACCAGTATTTGATACATTATACTTCGATTGTTTAATTGATAATTCCGGCTTTAACAATCACTCATCGTATTCATTATTTTGATAAATGCAGTCTTCTTAGAGTAACAAGTCTAACATAAAAAAAGACGACATTCGGCCACACCGAAGGTAGATTTCATAGAATGAATCATCATCTTGTTTCAATAACTTTTGTTTGACATGGAATGAAATTTATTTTAACACATATACATAAGTAGGTTGTATTACCTGAAAATGGTTCAATTGAATTTTTAACTTCACAGTAAAAAATATTGTGTATTTGTGTCGAAAACAGTTTGTGTTAAAAATTGTAGTGTGTTAAAATAACACAAAGCTTGAGTCACTTTATTTTGTAACATAAAAAATGTGTTATATACTCTTTATTAACCCTCTCACGGTCAATTCGGACTGAGTCGTACTTTTTCTCCCGGAGTGGGGATAGCCAGTCGCGTGAGCGGACTAACTCCCGCCACCAGATTTTCATGCCCGCCAAATGCTCACTCAGGGCCGTATTTATTATTTTTATGGCTTCACCATGTAAGCGATCATTGAGGTTATTGTCTATACGTCCCTGCGCTCCGCTCACTGGATTGCGTGCAGTCCTCTTGCCCCGCGAGTGGGAAAAGAGTGGGAGAAACGCCCAGAACCGTGAAAGGGTTAATATATTTTGTATGTTACTGCACGGGAGTGTGCGACATTTTGCATACCTGGATATGAGATTTCGTATGTTGAGGTTGGCCAAGTGGTTGTACTAAACAATATCGCGTCGTGCCACCTGGTTGCGACAAAACTAATCGTAAAAATTGAGAGTAAAACAGATTTCCTAAATTAATGTAATGAAAATCTAATAGATGGCGAATACATGTGCATTTACAACTTTAACCGGATCCTCGTAGCATTAGAGAGCTCCCTGTGAAAGCATACATTTTTCTCTTGTATATAAGTAGATGATGTGTACTCCATTATACAAGTCATATAAAACTACGATAAAAATATTAATTTATTGTTTTTTAAATTGTAATAATTATTCAGTGATTTAAATTAAAAATATTTGTGCAATCAATATTTTTATTTTAATTATTTAAATGAAATTATTTATTTTAATAATAATTTCTTTTTATTGCCCGTGAAATATTTATCAGTTTTAAAATAAATGTCAATAATTTATAAATTATAACAATAAATATAAATAATAATAATGATAATAATAATAATAATAATAATAATAATAATAATAAAAA